AGCAAATCACAGGATGTCAAAATCAAATTAAACAACTATGACTTTGATTCAGAGTAATAAAATAAGTGTTGTCAGTGTATATTTATTGAACCCTACAGAAGATGCCGAGAAGACATCCTATTTACTAATTCATTCATATCAGCAAGGTATGTTGCGAACGGGTTATCTATTTTAGAATATATAAACATTTAAAAATAAATAAAAAAAAAAAAAAAAAAAACAAATAATCCCAAAACAAAAACAATTCTGCATTTTCTCTACACGTATAAACGACAGGACCTGTAATCTCACTGAAGATATGTGATGACAATTATATCTGATTTATCACCCAGGTTTATCTACTATTGTTCAAACGACACACCAGTGAATAGCAACTTTAGAAAGTAATTTAGATACAATAGAGCAAAACGAGTAATTAACCTGCATCATACAGCTGTTTCGTCATTTTAGGACTCGTCAGTGATGCTACATCATACAGCTGTATCGTCCTTCTAGGACTCGTCAGTGATGCTATATCATACAGCTGTTTCGTCCTTCTAGGACTCGTCAGTGATGCTACATCATACAGCTGTATCGTCCTTCTAGGACTCGTCAGTGATGCTACATCATACAGCTGTATCGTCCTTCTAGGACTCGTCATGATGCTATATCATACAGCTGTTTCGTCCTTCTAAGACTCGTCAGTGATTCTGAGGGCCTAGATTCTGAAGCCTTTGAGGTGACTGATGAAAACCCCAAGTGATTGAAAGAAAAGTCAAAATCTAGATGGGGAGGTGCACTTGTCCAATAACTCAGTAAATTTCGTGATTTTCAAATATCTGCTAATTTAGAATAACGTTAAGTGTATGTGTATTATCGTAGACATACAAATGTCTTATAGATGGCCAGTACGTACATATCTGGACGGTGTTGCCCAAGGTGAATACAGTACAACCCTGTGATATAAGGAGAAGCATTACAGATATCAACACATGTAATCTAATTCAAACAAAAAGTAAAAATTACAAAACCCTATAAGTATGTTTGTCATCGTCTCGGTGACATACAGACTAACTAGATAAGATAATTAAATGTACTTTGTTAACATTCTAATTTATTATATGTATACCACAGTTATCAATAACAATGGCGATGATTCAACCAACGAAGCATGAAACAAAATTGAGCGTCATTAATAATATCAACATATTCTTTTTAAACGTTTGTTTAGTCCAATACAAATACAAATATATAAACAGTTCAAATGTACTATAGAACATTTTGTTTGACGGTTTTATGTCAATTTCATAACCGATATTAAATTCCTGAAACAGATGATGAACTGGAGGAAAAGACATAGACGGATGTGATAGTAATGATTATATGGTACATAAATGTTTTAATGAGCGCATTTCTTAAACAGACGTGGAGCTGTCTTACATGTCATGCAAAATATAAAATGTGGTTTATAAGGGTATATAAATGTAAAAGTAGGTCATGGATGGTTTTAATCTTATCACATTTTTCATATACACTCCACAACGAATGGTTTATACAAAAATGGGTGTTATCTTTTGATATATTGATCTGAAATAAAATGGAACACTATCAGTTTCGTCATAAGTCGCGATTCAATGAAAGTAAACAAGAGGCCCCGGTCCTTAACGGTCATCAGACTACAAAAACTTTAAGCAGAAAAAAAGGTTATTTTTTCTACTTTTAATGAAATCTTACTAAGAAGCTGTTTTCCATGATGCAGGTGGTAGTTTTGGTGAGCAGTAGGTGATGACCAAGTGTTACCTATTTTTAACAGTAAAGTTAGAGCTCAATCCAACTGGTGAAACTTGAAACGAAGTTTGACTCTCTCCCTCCCTGGCTGCCATGTCAAAGTTTCAAAGTTGACAACACTTTGTGGTTACCTTTCCTTAACATTCCCACCAATTTTTAGGTCAATCGCACCAGTGAAACTGTAGAGAAAGTTTAAAATATGTTTTTCAAAATGGCGGCCATGGCAGCCATCTTCGATTTCAGACCGACCTTAAAAATAACAACACGTGGTCAGGACCATCTCAGGATCGTTTCAGACAAGTTGGATCTCACTACCACTGGTGAAACTTTAGATGAAGTTAAACTATTAAAAGTTTGCCCACGACGGATGGCGCACGGCGGACAGCGCACGGCGGACGACGACGCACAATGGCTGTAGATCATCATGTCCCTTCGGGTCAGATGAATTAAAAAGCTGCATTTTGTTTTCAAAATTACGAATGAAATTTCTTTAATAGCTACAAAAAATGAAAAATTTCACTCCTATACTTAAAATGATGTAGAAATAAATGAATGAAAATCATTGAGCTAATCCAGCAGTGATTACAGTATTTTTACAACGTTTTCACAATTAAAAAAGAAAGCATTGACAGATCTTACATCATTATGTCTTTCACCGGGAAAAGAAAAAAAGTGATGTAAAATGATACTGTAAAATTTCTTATTTTCGATGGTGCAAATTTTCGTGGTTTTGATAAAAGATAATAGAAAATAAAATGCATGTATACATCACGGAAGATATCAAACGGAAACTGGTTTTCACTACTTATTCTATTTAAAATTGTATATATTTGTCGTAAAAAAATCCATTTACTAAACTACCTTCAGTATATCAAGCGATTTATGCCTTAAAAATATCAACTTCTTTTATTGGAAGACAACAATACACCAACATATCAACTAACAATAGCGTTGATAAAAGTTTTGAATACAAATAGAAGGCTAATCTGAAATTCTCTGTGTATATTTCGTGAATTCTCTTCTTAAGCGACCGTTTTGTCACTTATTTGGCGATACAGGTTTGAAATAGCATCAGACCGGGAGGCTAGAACACAAAATCAAATCCAAACACTTTGTAGTAAAATCAGGATTTCAGGATACCGAAAAACACTGACAATAGGCAAATACATTCAACCAGTAACATTTCTCATGTTTTAAATAATAGTTAAGCGATCTTCTTTTTTTAAAATAATGTGTATTCCAATCATTTCGTATTTATTCAGCAATAAGGTCATGCCTGGAAATATGTATCAACATACACATGTGTTAAAGAATTACATAGAAATAGGATTTCGTTGTCATACTTTAACTAACGAGGAAAATAAATATGAAAAAATCTGTTTAATTTTACAACTAACAATTTATAAATTAATCATATACTTACTTAATGTTAATAAAAATATGATTGTATAAAAAGTCGACTTGTTTCATTTAAAATAAACCATCAGGTCTTTAAAATGTATTCTTAATAGCACCTGGAAAAGTGACGACAATTTAACATGTATCCATATTAGGCATCAGTATCATTGGACTCGGTAAAATAGATATATCAATCTTTTTTACAAGAGAAGTAAAATATAAAAGATATGTCGGACATAAATCTGTAAAACATGTTCATTATATTAGCACCAGCAGAAAATATGATAAGTGACTGTGGTATGTGTATATGAGTGTTGATGTATCGGTGTGAGAGAGAAGAAGAGGGTGTATATTTGTCTATGAGGGTGGGTGGATCGGTGTGAGAGAGAGATGGAGAGGTGTATATATGTCTATGTGGGTTTGTTGGATCGGTGTGTGAGACAGGTGAAGAGTGTATATATGTCTATGAGGGTGGGTGGATCGGTGTGTGAGACAGGTGAAGAGTGTATATATGTCTATGAGGGTGGGTGGATCGGTGTGTGAAACAGGTGAAGAGGGTATATATGTCTATGAGGGTGGGTGGATCGGTGTGTGAGACAGGTGAAGAGTGTATATATGTCTATGAGGGTGGGTGGATCGGTGTGTGAAACAGGTGAAGAGGGTATATATGTCTATGAGAGTGGGTGGATCGGTGTGAGAGAGAGATGGAGAAATGTATATATGTCTATGAGGGTGGGTGGATCGGTGTGAGAGAGAGATGGAGAGGTGTATATATGTCTATGTGGGTTTGTTGGATCGGTGTGTGAGACAGGTGAAGAGTGTATATATGTCTATGAGGGTGGGTGGATCGGTGTGTGAAACAGGTGAAGAGGGTATATATGTCTATGAGGGTGGGTGGATCGGTGTGTGAGACAGGTGAAGAGTGTATATATGTCTATGAGGGTGGGTGGATCGGTGTGTGAAACAGGTGAAGAGGGTATATATGTCTATGAGAGTGGGTGGATCGGTGTGAGAGAGAGATGGAGAAATGTATATATGTCTATGAGGGTGGGTGGATCGATGTGAGAGAGAGGGGAAGAGGGTGTATATTTGTCTATGAGGGTGGATGGATCGGTGTGAGAGAAGAGGTGAGGAGGTGTATGTATGTCTATGAGGGCGGGTTGATGGGTGTGAGAGAGAGGTGAGGAGGGTGTATATATGTCTATGAGAGTGGGTGGATCGGTGTGAGAGAGAGGTGAGGAGAGTGTATATATGTCTATGAGGGTGAGTGGATCGGTGTGTGAGAGAGATGAACGGGGTTTATATATGTGCAGATGTGGATGTGCGTGTGAAATATTAGTTACAATATTTGAGGCTGGCGAAGTTCACGACAAGACATTTAGATAGCATTTGACTCATACATAAAGTTATAAAATGGACTTATACATTGACTATTCTACCAGACCCATTTTGTGATAAGATGTTGGCCATTCTTCTCCTTAACTAACAACGGGAAAAATAAAATACAGGTACGAAGTGTGATAAAACGAAAGTTTAAATATGTTAATACTTTTCGTAGATATACACAGTTATCAAAATAAATTGAACAAGACACAATTCTAGACTTGCTTCATGCGGATACCAGGACAAACATCTCGCACAATGAACCATTCAAATACGTATTGAGCTTGTAAAAGTATAGCTTAAATATAGACATTGTCATTTTGGATATTGGTTATGTAAACAGCGTTCTCAGGATTGTCATATTGATATTTATTTTAAAATGTTAATAACATAATAAAAAACAAAATATAACTGAAAAGAAATATGATTATGATTGTAATTGGACTGAATAGGATTTATTTTAAGATTGGATGTTAACGAAATGAACTACAAAGTCAACTAAGTATATTGTACAATGAGTCAATGTTGAAAATGAAACTGTTGTAACCATATCTTATTGTCAAATATCCACTTGATGTGTCCTCCATAACAAACCAATGAGATGTCATGTCTCTGCAATCCCAATCAATGGCAATGTTAAACATTCAAATATCAGGAATATTGAAAACGCTGTCTCACTTTTGAGTGACCATTTTGTTCTTTTGACATCCTAGTATAGCCACCTTTATGACCGTTATTTAGTCCATCCAATGGGTGGTCTGATAACGGTACATCACTTTTAACATCACGGTAGATGTAAAACTTCCACACTGTCAGAAGGACCAGGCCTAGCAGACCAAGTATCCAGAAGAGAGTCACATGGGTAGGAAGGGGCTTACTGATCGTCTGCCAACCAAACTTGAGACTGATCAGTACTTCTGTGATAATAATGGCTGATATTAGCCAAGACTGGCGACCAAACGTTTTGCAGGTCCTAAACCAAACACAAAAAAGTTATCCACGATTCTCGGTCATCAGTCTATTTAAAAATGGATATGTATTCTATATAATGAAAAATATTTTTTTTATCTAATTTTCATCATTTTATAAGAATTAGTTAATTCTTCACTTTTAAAGTTTCTATTATTTTAGAAATATTTAGCAAAGCATGGTGACAATTCTATATTGTTTCCCTAATTATTTTTGCTCTTTTAAAAATTCTTTTATTAGTCAACTATCAAGCTATTTGTTACCGTGACTCAGCAAGGAGACAAATTTCTTATCTGGAGCATAGAACTAGTTTCATGCATCATATGTTACATTGAATTGTTTGAAATCTTGCAGAAATATAATTATAATGTAATTCCTGGGAAATACCGACTTGTCTTACATAGACTTTGTGGCCAAAGTGATTAAATGCTGGCTCGTCTTACGCAGACTTTGTTGCCAAAGTTATTAAATGCTGACTCCTCCTATATAGACTTTGCTGCCAATGTGAGGATACGAGTGTAGAAGATCTTGGTTTTAAATTCAGTGATGTAGTAGTCTTACAGAGGGCAAAACCTTTCCATTGAGTACGAGCGTGATGAAATTGCGAAAAACTAATTTCTTTCCTCTCTATTGATTGATGAAATAAAATATTACTTTTGTTAAAATCGTTTCTGTTTTTCTTTCATATATTTTCATTTTGGTTTGATTTCTATACTGTCATCGTTTTATCATACTTACGGGTCATCAAGATACTGGAAGGTTTCCCGCAGTGCAGCTGCACCCATGAACAAAAAGAGGACAAGGCGAGTAAGATTGAGGTAATGTTCTGGAGGAATCCATAATACAAACTTGAGGTAGAAAGTGTTTAGTTCTGCCAGTAGGAACTGTAAACAAACAAGCAAATATGTTTATAAGCATGAACACATTTGTTATCTTTATCTTTACAAATATAGAATTTAAAAAAAATCATGACACTTTAGTGTTAAATTGTTAACAAGAAGCGTCTGTTTAGACAACCTAAACATTACCACAGGCATGTAGTATCCGGTGATTAAAACGTCTGATCTAGATATTTCGTTCTTTAAAGACTCGCCAGTGATGCTACGGGAATATATATTGAAGACTAAGAGGCGACTGTGAAAAATCAATGGGAAGGTGCCCAAGCCTATCATCCAATACATTTAGTAATTGTCGTATCTCTGGTTATTCTAGAAAATTGTCCAATGCATGCATCCTTAAGCCCTATGCCAATTGACGAAACAGTTATATGATAGAGTTAATTATAGCTACATAGTATCTATGACCAAAATTGTATCAAAATGGGATTTTTTATTTGTTTGCTTTTTGTTCAAATGTACAATCCTTCATACTTACAAAAGCTATCACACCTAGCATGGCAAACCAGCGTTTGAGACTGGACAGTGGTTTCCAGTCGAAATCTGTCCAACTGTATGGTGTAAATTGGAGAGCAAATCGCTTGATCTTTCCACTAAACAGAACAAATGAGACCGTATATTACTCTTACAATCACATTAAATTTGATCTTCTTGGATCTGATTATATTGTTTTCGCACGTGTACATGTAGGGAAATTACTTCTATATGTATGCATTAAGATGTGCCTGCATATGAAGAGTATATACCACTGACAGAACGGTAATTAATCTGTGTCTATGAACAAGAGACCGATAGAGATTGTATCGCTCACCTGCCTTTTTGTTGTCCGAAATTGCTTCAAACTAAAGGAAAAGGAATTTGAAATTTCAAAGCACGCAACTATTTATCTATTGGGTCCACCAGTTAGTCCTAAAGGGCAGCCAAAAATGTAATCTTTTATACAAAGTTTGGACAGATTTAAAACTTTTGCTCCTCAAATGGGTCCTGCCTCACCCATCCCCACGGGCCTTAGAGTCGATATTTATACAAAACTGATTTCAATTTTCTCATGGATGCGTTAGACCAAATTGGGCACAATTAAATCATTTCTACAGAACGAATAGGATTTTAAAGAATTGGAACTCACCATTCCTAGTGGGTTGTAACTCAAAGTTTATACAAAACTGATTTCCCTTCACTAACGAATGCTTCAGCAGAATTTGGGCAAACCTCAACCATTCCTACAGAAAAAATACTTCAAACCAAATTTGAGGAAATTCCGCTCAGTTCCTGACTAGTAGCGATCTGCAGAAACTTTTGATTGGTGGACGACGGACGCCGTGGTACCCCCATAGCTGACATAGGCAGTCTAACTAATTGTCAGTGTACGGGTACTTAATTTACCTACAATACTTGAATAGTCTCAGGTACATAGTATTCACCTGTATTATACAATAGAAATAAATAACCACGAGGGCTGATTGATAAGTTGTGAGCCTTGTATTGAAGAAGGTAAGCAGGGGAGTTCTTTTTTAGCTCTACCATTCATTGACTATTTAAGGCTGTGTACCCGCAGACTGGTGTCATTTGGACAATTCATGTCGAAGAGGTAGGACTCTAAACGAGGCAATTACTTTTCTAAAATAGGCAAAATCGCTGAAAGAGCATGATTCATTATTTGCATAAGAAAGATCTAGCACCTAAGAATATCCATAGTCATATGGTAGCAACACAAGGGAATGAAATCCCTTCATAATCTTCACTTTGGGTGGTGGAATTTAACCGTTGCAGGCAGAGCCTGTGGTATGACGCCCGTCGTGGAAGGCCTGTCACCGTTACAACCTCAGAAATGTTCAATACAGCCTATCATACTGTTATGGCTTACAGGCGAGTTACAGTTACAATTTCGATCTCACGGAAGATCTTGCACAGAAAAAAGATCAGAAGCACACCAGGCGGACTTTTGCGTGTGGTAATCGTAACCCTACATAGGCCAATCATACAAACGTGGGTCCATCATTTCAAATTAGAGGCTAAAGAACAGTCTACAGAGTGGCAACACCCTGGTTTAACCTTGTCAAAAACGGCAAAGACTGTTCCATCAGCTGGAAAGTTTACATCCTCGGTTTTCTTAGATGCTGATGGTATTCTGATGGTAGAATATGGACAAACAATCAATGGCACATATCATGCGTCACTTATTAGGCAATTAAGAGAAAATGTAAATCTCAAGCACCGCGGAAAACACAATAAAATGTGTTGTTCCACCAGGACAATGTCCCTGTTCACAAGTCTGTAATTGCCATGGCATTGAATTGTTTGAGCATTCGTCTTATTCTCCTAATCTTTCTCCATCAGACTTTCATCTATTTCCAAAATTGAAAAAGGCCATTTCCTGTACCCACGTTTGGTAATATGATGACGTCATACCTGCAGTGGAGGACTTTCTGAACGGTCAAGAAAGGGACTTTTTTAAAAGTGACATTGAAACCCGTAAACATCGCTGGCAAATGTGTGTATATACTGAAGGGATGTAAAATGATGTAATATTTCTGCCAAATCCTTAAATATGAAGTTCACAACTTATCAATCAGCCCCAACGCAACACAATTTTTATATGTGAGAAGAAATAAGCCGTATGTGAATTTTAATTACAAGTAGGTATATATGTTAAAACTCTACCATATACATCATAATGTACCATGATAACGTATATGTAATTACAAGCATGTACAGGTACTTTGTGTCATAACTAGAGCACTGACAGCAAGGACCCCGTTGTGTGGCTGAAAATCCCTCTCTCCTACCGACAAACCCAACACCCCATCCTTAGACACACACTGACAGATTACTAGCAAGACCTTTACTACACTGCCACAAAAGTCAAGAAAGGTTGTTACGAAAAGAAACCGTGCTGACAAATACATTCAACAATCTAGTTTCTTATTTATAATTGTGACCTTGACCTTAGAACTTTGGATATATAACTAAAGTTATCACACAGAAACTTACTTTAACTTACAGTTACACGTTCGGTTAAGAAGCATTGCATCAAGGTTGAATTAGATTGGCGACAGCAAACGAATTATTCCACAAAATCAATTTTCCATTATAAGTAAAAATAACCTCAATCTTTGACTTCTGGGTATAAAAAGTAATCTACAGAAAACACTTTCAGTACGAAATAAGGTATGAAGTTTCAGTTTTGTGGGTTCAAGGGAATTCAAGTTATATCACGAAAACAATTTTTCTACGTAGAGTGACATATTCTGGACTAATGACTCTCGGACCTGAAAAGCAGTCCAAAGCAAGTCATTTTGTAAGAAAGCATTGTATGAGGTTTGACTTTGATTGGCCAAAGCAGGGAAACTGATTTTTCTATTCATAGTAATAGTAAACTTAACCTTTGATCCTTGAAGATAAAAAACGATTCCATGCAAGCACTTTCGAAAAGGAAGCACTGTAGGATGTTTAAGATTGATCGTCCCAAGGAAACTCAATTCATTCACGGAAACAAGAGTGTTGAAGGACGGAAGGACGGACAAATGGACAGACACCGTGATTAATATAGGGCACTCGTACTCCGTGCGGGGCCCTAATTACTGTTTGTTAATTACCTGTATGTAGGTATATTCCACATGCCTCTCCAATGATATGGTTTCATAGATAGGTAGTTGAGTGTTTTCATACCAAGATAGATCCCTAGACCATTACATACTAAAGCATCCATGATCCACTACAAGAGAAAAGTATAATAGTAATTTTGGTATATAATAACATACTTGTAACATACAAACTCTTACCATATTACATTTGATATAAGTGGTCAATGGTGAGTACATTGAAAGCGGGCAAATGGGTGAGAATTGATTAACCCGAACTCTACAACAAACCATCAACGATATATCTTTCGTTATATAAAACCAAACTAGATTTTGAATCGAAAATACAGTATATATATTTCAGTTTTTTGACAACATCAGCAATTATCTCTGAATTCTAACATCATAATAGCTCTTACTAAGCAAGTATACAAAGCCCTAAATATCTAGACTTATTCTTGCTTCCTGCAATAAGCCAAAAAGGCACTATATTTGACTTAAAAATAGACCAGTCTTATTACAGGTAATGCATTTTTTGTTTCTATTTGAATGTCAATCATCATAAATGTGCTTACTACAGGTCATTGATTCATTGTATGATGCACATCCACATTACAAAATAGATGCTTTGACTTACGTGATCCCACCAGCACTCACTAAAGTTTGGCAGCTGGTGTTCCAGGGTATACTCGAGTATCTCAAACATGATACTCAATACAGTACAAAGCCACCAATCCCTCAGTATCAGAGTCTATGGAAAAAAAATCAAGTGTTGTCTGTTTGACGATGTTGAAACTTATCAAACCGACTAAAATAATTATGCTTATGCATGCTTACCTAATCAGTCCCATTCTAATTGTTTAAAATAATTGAATCGGGGCAGGTTCAACGAGTCATTTCCGTAACAGTGATATAACAAATAAGTATTACATAATTTCCCTAAACATCACAAGGCCGATTAAGTATTCAACCTTGATTTTACAATTTGTGTATTAATAGATAAGATTAAATGCCCGTGGATAGCATATCAGCTGAAGTGAAGGAAAACATAATCACGTCTGTTTGTTCTTTACATAATTCGTTTTAAACTTCGCTGGTTTTATAGACATACAATTACATTAGAGGGCATTTAAGAACTCGGAAGACACACCCCAGAACTAAAGCAGGTAACTTAATGAGAGGTAAATTCAATGCATTACCTATTCATTCTTTTGAATGGTTGAAAAAATGAATACTTCTATATTACGTTACAGATATTAAAAATATAATCGACAAAAGCATTAAAAGGAAAAAAAGAAGTTTGATGTGCAGATCAAAGCGTTTTCATTTCTGTTCAGACTTGGCATTCAAGTAAATATTGACAGCGTAGTAAACATTTGGAAGATTCAATATTCGACCTTCATATAAAAGGAACTACTGCAAACTGCTGTAAATACTTATTAACGTTTTGTGAGTCGCATTTTCCATAAGGCGCTAATGTTCATTGTATGACGTTACTATGATTATGACGTCATCGATTTATTCGTTTCAGATAGATAAACGGATTAATGGAACAAAATGTGTTTTTTGTTTCGGTCATGTGTTGCAAGTAGATGAAACTTTGTAGAGATTCGAAAGGAAATTAGGCAATGACTTGCCTCTAACATGTACGCACAGTAATGATATGTTCTGTTAATAGACACACCAAATTCAGCTTTATCCCTTGGGAGTTTACGTTCTTTTAGAATCAGTTTTAATAATGTTTTATCTACATCATATTGATAACTCGCGGCATTGAGAAATCCCCAGTGAAATGTCATAAACGTTTGACGCTTCATTAACAGTGAATCTCTGTTTAAACACCGCAACACATAAATCCGTCCAATTATCTTCCAAATTAAACCGTGTTTTTATTTTGATAGCAATGTGGAGGTCGGTCACTTTTAAAAACTTATTTGTAGATGACCAAATCAATATATACATCAAACACTTTAGTGACCTCCAACTGAATCTAAACACTTAAACTAATAATTGCCCTGTACTCAACAATGAAATTACAGATTATTTGTGAAACACACCATAGCAGAAATTAACGACAGGTTTATGAAACGCACTAAAGCTGAAATTAATATATACATCAAACACTTTAGTGACCTCCAACTGAATCTAAACACTTAAACTAATAATTGCCCTGTACTCAACAATGAAATTACAGATTATTTGTGAAACACACCATAGCAGAAATTAACGACAGGTTTATGAAACGCACTAAAGCTGAAATTAATAAAATTCACAAAACACGCTATGACTATAGATTTATTGTACACAATGTGGATTCAGAATTAACTGTATGTAAGGTATAATACATATATCACTGATCGAAAAAATTCAACTATGAAAAAAAATGCCTTTTACTGTCCATGTTTAAAATTTGCAGCAATTATTTTTCAGGTTTTTTCTTCACTCGCGAAATTCGTGAAAGTAATTCGCTCGTAAAAGTATATTTGCTTACAGTTTATTGACAGACAAAATATATTTCAGTGTTTGATACAAATTCTATCTAGTCTGAGTGTCCTGATTTCTATTGAACATGAATCTACAGAAAATTACCAAAATTAAAGTCATCTATTATAAAGCGAAGTTGTGAAAACCAACTTAATTCGAGAAGACAGTAGAAACCTTACCTTTGCCCACCAACCAAAGAAGTGAGTAGGAACAAATCCATCTAATTTGTCCTGAAAATGTACGATAAAAACATGTTTTATGATAGTAATCAACAGTGTCATATAATTAATGACAACCATTAATATCATTTGTGAGAAATACTTACTTTCACCCGCTGATGATTACATAAAAGGGTTATATAAGTGAAACAACTTTTCACCTTCATCATAGATTCGTCACCCTTCACCTCTGTTCATGGATGGAAAGGGCGATAGTTAAACAAGGCGAAAATTTCTAGCGAATCCAAACTTTCCTAGTCCGTATCTGTTGTTATTTGTATAAGTCTCATTAGTCTTTGTGATTTTTTTTCTCGTTCATTGAAGAACGTAAAGAACATTACACATCCAGCAGTCATATAAGACATCTGGTTATATATATATTATATATAAATCAGTAAGCAGTGTGTTGCAGAGCTAAAACAACAGGAGTGTTTAATCTACTCAAATGTGACCACAATTTCAGGATTGTACATAGGAAGGATTAATTTCTCAGAGTAATGAATATTAAATATATTATAATTTTTTGGGGGTCAAAGATCCGACTCAGTTTTAGATCCAAAATAATGTTAAGGTTACAACGTATTGTCTTTTATTATGATAGGTCCATACTTAATTACCCATAAATTATGAAAGGGATCAGAATGATCCGGATCATAAATGTAACAATTTCCTCCATAAGCTTTTTCAGGCATCTGTCTTCCGAGTCTGTCATCAAAGTGAGTAAGCAATTGCCGAGCTTCATAAGTTGACTAAAACAAACAAAAATTGAGGCTTCAAAATCATCTTGACATGAATTTCATTAACAAAGATGTATTGGTCTATATCCCCATGCACACCATGTAATACAAATATTATAAATTAAAAAAAAAACATTTCCAAGCATTATAGTTATTTAGGTTCCGCTTCATCACAATATAATTATATTCTAATCAACAGTATGAAACCATTAACATACTCCATTAGTGACTGAACAGGAACACTGTTGTATGTGAACCGCAATGCCAAATTCATGACCTTGCAATATCTCCAGAGGTAGAAAAAAAATAAAGTTTAACCGTCCCGATGACTACATTACCCTAGGGGCATATGATCCCAAAGACTGGGACACACTGACAGTTGACAATATGTTCTCTATTTCGCTGCGCATTTATGTAATCGCAAAAATTTTACATGTTTAAATATTAGAGGCGTGTAACTTTAATCTGCAAAGAGAATGATACCGAACTAGCCGACGCAGTCGACTCTAATTATTCACGGATATTTCAACAGTTTAAATTGTTTTTAAACGCATAATTATTTACACTTGGCATGAAATGCGTTTAGAATCACAAGTAGTTGAATGAGAAGCTGGCTTCAAATAAAGGAAAATGAAAGATATTACAACTGGCGTTTTGAATATCTAGGTAAATATTCATGGTAATTAATCCGTCCGATAATACATTCCATAGCCTTAAAGCAATCTGTAGAAAATTAATTGTGTATGAAGCAGATATCACCATACAACCGTATAACTGCCACCAAGAGTAATTCAACAGCAAATAAACTTAAGCACAAATGATAACTTTAAAAATAAGTGAACCAAGACCTCACAAACAATATAAAGCCACCCTGAAAACTGACCTACCGTATGGATGACCTTATGATCGTCTAAGAGTTGATAACTTACCTGAAATAGAAGGTAGACTAGAAATAGTTCGTAAACAATGCTGACACAGAGCACCAATCTCCAAAACGCTGTCAAAGCGAACACATAAATCATTACTCATCAATAAAACCATCAATACACTGGACAGGTTGTTTTGTTTTACTTTGTTCATCGATGGAATCAAACAACAACAAAAAATACTATGTAAATTAATAAATAAATATCTGAACATCTGAAAATAGAATTAACATGGAAAATTAGAAATTGCGTGATTTTCTCAAAGTAATATACCTATTTTGCATCAAACTTTCGTTAAAAATGCGAAAATTAATACCACTCAGAAAAAGCTACAGATATTTCTACGAATTAAACATATATTGTTTTAAACCAGCTCTACCTATTCTTTTCTTGTACATACAAACTACTGCACACGTAATATAATCTTTGTAGGCACCCTTGTTAAATGCTAAAAATATTTCATTTATCTTTGTTTTTCTTACACAAGAGTTCCACTCACAATTCTTAAATAAACATCGCGAGTTTTGATATAAGATATCTTTACCAATACAACAATATTTACATGACATAAAATACATGCTTGAGTGTCAACGTAAACAAATAACACTGTGTTAACAACACTATTTAAATATATTCATTTATTTATTATCACATATGTTCATTGTCGAAGTTTAACAGACAGAAACTAATTGATCACCTTTCCTCCTTGTCAAAACCAACACCAGAGTCCATTTGTTAAAAGAATGGTTAGCATACAAATGCAATACCGCCACTTTAAAAGTGCTATACAGAAAACACTAGCAATCAGATTTCTTTCCATTTTAAACGATAATTTTGAATCCCTGTATATATAAACATATCCTTTTCACTTCTTTTTAGATATAGTAATTAAACTCAGAAGATGAAATATTCAAGTTACCAATCTGGATAATCCATTAAGATTTTGAAAAAATGGACCCATAGAATATTTATTCTACAGAAACTAGTAACCATCATCAGCCACAAAAGGGTAACCTTGAGTGTCAGTGATTTATTTTAACGTGTACACATTACAAATTGGTCGACAGATATTGTGCAATCAATTAGCTCAAACATACATGCATGATTGCTATTCTGCAACAAAGTGGTAATATTTTCACATATCACTATAACACAATTCTAAATTCTAAATCACTTTTAAAAAAGATGCAAAATTACTCGCCGTTTTTTGTACAATTGAGGTATTTCAGTTGATCTAGTATGAATTTATGACCTCACGTCAAAGAGTAATAAAACAGAGGTTTGATTAAATGAAGTCCCACAAAGTAAAATTCGTGTTTTATATTAGTCGGAAAAAGGATGTGCTGAAATATGGTGATGTTATGACAGGGGTTTTTGTAGGTGGTATAAAATAATTGACAGAACTAAAAATAACCCACGGAGCACTACCTCATGAGGCTAGTAGGAAGTATCGTACAGTTTCAATCATTAATTTTCTAGAGACTGTATTTTTATCAGCAGTGTTCTCCTTCCTGTTGACCCTCTTCTACAAGACAGCAGAATCTCCATTAAGCTGCTACTTTGAAAAGGTTTCCATGGACTAATTCCATTTTTGAGAACAACGATAGCCCTAGAAAACGTGTAATGTAAATGATGGCGTTGAATATATCGCGATTGTGAATAATTTACATTTAACTAGTACTGATCTTGACATCTCCGATATAAGAGAAAAATAGCCAAAATTCCAAAAATACCAGGAAATGTCGTAACTGGATTTTATTTATAGTTTTAAAGCCCATATGTTGCTTTTTGACTAATAATAGGGAAAACGACACACTCAATATTGTTTTAAGTGTTGACGGCAATTCCTCTTTCAGGGTTCCTCTCCTTTGTTTGAATTAATACACATAAAGTAGCGTACCATATGTCGATTTCATAGCCTAACTAAAGTAGCTTTTGTTAAAGTAATTAAAATAGGTGGCAGCTAAAAAATGTAAATATTTGTTGGTAAAATAAGACATCTATGTTTAAGTTTCGGAATTTGGTGACCTGCTGAAGTACTGTACGTTTACAGAGTTTAAGGTTTAGTTTTGATTCGTGTTTTACTCTTCCCTTGCACTCCTATCCTTTGGTCCTTCGTCAGGTCTTTCAGTAGTACAAGTTAAAAAAGGATCTAGTATTTTGAAGTTCTTCCTTTTGAATTTTACAACCAAGTTTGACTAGCCGTGGTGGATGTTTCCTCATTTAAGTTCGTTGTTCCTCTTTTGATGCTTTCTCGATCGATTACAAGCTTCCAATCTCCATATATTGCTAAATCCTGTTTCCCCTCATTTTCCTTTCTGGTATTCATCCTCTGCAGTGTGTACGGCGTAGCACTACCATTGACAGTACTTTGATAAACGCTCACATACATGTACGTAACCTTTCAATCGCCGACCACATTTGACAGAATGACAGTTTCCCTTGCACATTAAAGCCCTTCCTCGGTAGTTGTTGCATATTTCATATGTAGGCATTTTATATAGGAGTATATCGTAGTAGTGAAACAAATGCAAATATGAATTTTAGTAAATTGTGAATATTTTTTATATCTTCACAGCTGCAAATTTGTTGAGACAAATGAGATTATTTATTTTTAAAGTTATTGTTTTTTCAGTGGCAACGATTAAGTTTTTCACTAGCCATTGGCTAAACCTAACCAAGCTTCGAGCAATTGGGGTCAGGTGTATATTTTATTAAAAAAGTTGCAGCTGTTATTCAATACGTTCTAGATATATCTGTGTCTGTATGGTTTACTAGCACGTAATAATAGCATGAGAAAAAATTTGTTTCTTGTATGTCAGAACGATAAATTTCAGTTAATTTTCCACATCGACACAAAATTAGATGTCACACTGCTTTACAATATGAAGGTATCTGATGAGGTATAAAGATTGAGATTATCTTCCGACTTGAAAGGACAATGACAATGAGTAGTGTTATCACGCCATCAACATACAAAGGCGCAAAAATTTCGTTCTACTTGATAGGGCGGAAATAAACATCCGACACGGAACCCGGATGAAACAAGTGATACGAAAACAAATATACAAATCCATGTTTCCACGAAATGATAAACAGATTAACATTTATATGAATGTTTAGTACTGGTGGATTTTCTAACTATTGACTGGCTTTCAAATCAAGTCATCGGAAAAATATATTTGAAATTTCAGCGCCGCGAAAAGGTATTATTTTGCAGTTCCAACTTTGTGAGAGGATATTAAATTAGACCTGCACATTATAAGAATTGATGGAACAGAAATGTTGAGGTTTTTCGAAGAACTGTAAATAAACACACCAAACCTGACCATTAAGAATGACAAACCAAATTTTGTTATAAAATGTTGAATTGCAAACAAATACAAACACCTTCAAAATTTAAACATCAAATGGATGCATTTACCAAACAGGAAGTGAGTTAGGGACATACAAGCAATGAAGTAGGATGTGTTTTATAAAACTTACACGAAAACCTTTAAAAGTTTTGCAGATGAGACGCCGACACTGGAGAAATAAACCTAACTCATGGTTATCTATTACCAGTGAGCTAGAAAGAATTTTCAATTAAAAATTCATACTTATATATGTTTAAAGGGATTTATTATGTTGGTTACAACAACAGCTGTTGTAAAAATGACAACTCATATCACATATCTTGACAAAATTAAAGCCACATTTCTAGAACAATACAGATTTAAAAAATATCAAAGGCGTGTATGAAATATTTCATATTCCTTTGCTTGGATTATGAAAGATATTTTCGTGACAAAACAGACGGAATTTTACAATTTACTGACGGCTATTTGTACTTTTGTATGAAAATCGTCCTTAATTTAAAAAAGAAACAGTTTCATATTTCTACACGAAAACACGCTTCAAGCGTATTACTTTACTCAACAGTGAATATCTGTTTCAGATTAATCGTATTTCATATTAACTATTAAATGCAGACAAAAAAATATTAAAATTGTACAATATATTCTTTGAAGTGAAAAACTTTCATTTGATGATCATATAAGGCTTTGTATGTGTGTAAATAAAAGCATACCTGGATGTGGCCTCCTGAATGGTCCGTCTGGTGTCTGTGTTACCCCAAAAAGGAGGAATGCCAACACCATAGCAACCACTCCTCTGTAGCAACAAACCAATAAAATACTGGATCAACCTAAATTATAATCTAATATAAGTATGATAATATAATTTTTTTTTTATATTTTTGCAGTGATTATTAAAATATATGTTTTGGAATTATTGTGTATGTACACATTCATCATTGCGCTTATTTGCAAAATGATGATGAGTATAGTATTTTTACATAATCCGGTTTATACATAGGTAGGCCTATATCACCCATTTCAGTTTTACTATTATTACAACAAATACTTTATTAATAATATTATTTTATTCAATGAGACCACTGACCCATTTTGGGTTAGGGATTATACTTTGTTTCCCTGGTTCTATCTAAGAAAAGCTTTCTTCTCCTATATCTTTAAAGTACCTGATCCAAAGAAGAAGATCCAGAAGCAGAAATTCTTAAAATATCCAGGAAATACATGTCAAGATTTGCGTATCCAGTAAACGAAAGCAAAGTGCCAACTTTAGAAGAATATCAGAGCAGCGTATGAGGATGAGGTTCCCAGTCAGGATATACAGTACTAGGAATGTCTCGGCTGTTCTGCCATCGCAATGAGACAAAGCAAGACAGACTAGGAGAGGGACCTACAGCAAAATGAAGGAGGAAAGTAAACGTTGCCAAAACAGAGACAACAAACGCATGGTGACTATCGTACCAGAGAACAGTTTAACAGTGAGGTGATCTCAAGGAGCACCTAAGGCGCCTTTGAAAGCAAGAAGGAAAAACGAGAAACTACAAGACCACGGGCGACATTCAAGGACAAAGACGGCTGTAATAGACAACTCTTGTTCGTCATCACATCTTCCTGGAGTAGAAAAATAAGAAAACATGGAGGCAACGAAAACACCTATATTGAACTACCGGAAGGGGACGCATTTTGCTGTAGCAAGAAACACACCACATGGAAAGTGCACTAGGATACTATCAGTATCAGGACCTATCCATCAGATACAGAGGAAAAGATATGGAGATTACAGACGTGACGAAAATGCAAGGGAAAGATACTCAGCTCCAGAACCCAGCAACATCTCATGAAAGGTCTACAGGACGTGTCTAAATATCCTTAGATAACTGGAGACGAAGACATTACTGGAGACAAACTCATTTTGTCCTCCATTCATATGGCACTACGTACAAGTCTACACCTACATCAAAAGTACCAGCTGCGTGGTGCTTTGCTTTCTTTATTTAGAGGATGCCCAAAATACCAGAAATCTTGCAGAAAGCAGAGCGAATATTTGTTCCAAAAGAAAATTTCGTCAAACACTAACCACTTTTAGAACAATGTCCTTTCTTAGTGTTGAGGGGAAGATCTTCCCATGAATGTGTCACTGTATGTAACTGAAAATGACTACATGCATCCCTCATTCAGAAAGAAGGGATACCATAATCCTCAGTGTATTTCTTCTAAAGTTCTGTTTTTACTTAATAAAGAAATATTCCTAACTTAATGTTGAAGTATTTCGAGTTTCTAAAGACAAAGGTTATAAACACTTACCTTTTACTATTGTAATCCGAGTCGTTCACTTGTTCCTCAAACAGTGCAATGTATAGAAGACAGCAAGCAAACAACACCAGCACCGTCACAGTATGGGCACGCCTGAAGAAGAAAGGGAAGATAATATAGTCAGCAGTTATCCCAGAGTTCATCAGCGTATTACATACCGCCATTATCAGTTAGAGAATATATGATACTATGATAGCATATATCACTTGCACAATTTTCCTAAAGGAATGTTTGGTATTGGCGGTAAATGCCAAAGTCTTTTGGTGCATATATATGTAAAATGCATAAAATGATCAAACACATTAAAATGGTTGTGATATCAAGCGTAAACATGCATTTCTACAATCCAGGTCAAGGTCAAATGTCCAATATAGGTCGATGTATTTGTAATGAATATTGTAATAGTATGCTCAACACATACAGATACACATACCTGTATTTTCAATTAAGTACATGAACTTTATTTCATGTACATACCAACTCTTCGTAATACATATTGCATGATTACTAATATACAGGCGGTCTGAAACGTGCATTTGGTCATACTAATATAATATCAAAAGGTCAAATAGAGGTCACAATAGAGCAGTCCAATTCTGGTGTTATTTGGCACAATAATATCTTCATATCCAATAGTGTAAATTTGACATGTTCTGAAAATTTGTACTTCAGTTTTTAATTGATGTCGTCCTTATAAAAAAAACAAGCATTAATTTCATTCACTGAGTTAAAGGTCATGATATGTCAATTTTTATTAATTCGGTACATAGTATTTATATAAGTGTCGTACAGATGACATATTGGCAACACCAATTTAAGTTGGGTCCAATATTCTCAGAAAATCTGTATTTCACTAAAGTTCAATAATGCGGTGAAAGTCAAAGTTCAAACAGTGATCACTGTTTCATAACTCTAATACTTTTATTAGTGACCAATATGTACCTGTATACTCAACCTTTAAATAAGGTCGATAAGCTATGGGATATTTTCTCAAACTATGCTTCAATATGCCTTTTTCACTGACGCCTAGCTGTTTTGTCGCATTAGAAATAACTTTAGTTTATCTATAAAAACAATTTTGGCGTTTGCTGGTGCATGCTACGGTCTAAATATCTTAAAGTATCGCTGCATAAAGAAAATTACAGACAACGCAAAGGACGGTTTACGAGACACAAGGTTAACACTCTACCCGCTCTCAAAATTTCAAGGTTAGTGTTTTTCATCATACACAGTGCAAATCGAGAACGTCTTGTTATTATGATACCAGTTAGAGGTGTATAGTTTCATTGAAATACACCCAGGGTAAATAAATTATACGTCAAGTTTAGTAAACATTGGAATATTTACTTTGAAAACATAGGCCTGTTTCCCCATTTTTTATTTGTTATTTGGATAATATATCATGAAATTTACGTGGCGTATAGTCTGTGTAATCATTACGTGTACACACATATCTTTTCCAATACACTTAGAAAATCGGGTTGAGTTTATACATAAGGAGAATTCTACACTTGTGGCACAGGTGTGTTGCAGGTGCAGTAGCCATACGCATGTTGACACGTTACTACACGAGGCATAATAATCATATTTCATTATACTTAGAATTTGGAAAATAAATGTCTGACAACAATAACAGCAAATCACCTAGAATTAGTAAGGTAATAAACATCTGAAACCTAAGATTTCGGAAAGAATGTAGGATTTTGAACTTTCTGCTTCATGGTAATTGTAACCTTATTCTCGTTTGCAGCGTAAATCATACCAGAAAAAGGACATTGTTCCATCATCAAAGATATCCTTCTTTCTGTTTTTGTCAGTTTCCCAGTCATGTGCGGTGGCCATGTGTAACTTCAACACATCAGTCTTGGCCTCATTCTGGGCCGATGCCATAGCTATGACCTTTAGGAACACGCGCGACTTTGGGTGACTTTTCAACTTTCAACCGACCTGTAATAACAGGTTTCATTCAAGGTCGTCTGATGTGCCTAGAAAGAAAAAACAAATCGTTGCAACAAGAATGATTGGTTTATATATAATTTAATTGCAATGTATCTGTGTTTACCTGACAATAAACCGATATCTGATTATAAGCCTACCCACAGATACTACATATTACGCTAGTCAAACGATGATTGTCCTGTAATAAGCCCACCCACAGATACGACATATTATGTTAGCCAAACGTTAAGTGTCCTGTAATAAGCCCATCTCTCCTTAGGCTTTATATCGGAGTTCATGTTTATTCCGAGAGTTTTTCATGTAAATATTTTATCAACTTCTGATCATACAGGTACCTTAGATATATTCACTGCAGCCAGTGTACAATGTACGTTAGGCCACATGCTTTTTGTTACATCAAGCACAAGTATACTGTGTCGTTCTTCTTTTATCTTACACGTGCAGTTTTAAGGAAATCATCTGACTTTATGTTTGAACGAATCTTTGCATAAAAACCCGCAATCTTCAGCTATTTTTTCTTTCATAAAACAAACAAAATATCTGAGTCTTGAAATGTATCAATATTTTTTCATGATCAACATTGGGAATCCATTAGCAAGTATGTAACATTCTGCATGTTGCTTTTCCAAGCAACATTGAGTTTACCGTATATGCATTGTTTAGTTAAGAAATTGTGGATTCGGTAGAAATTTCTGTCCATTCTCCAATAAATCCATTCATTCACCTCCATTATGAGTTACACAATGTCCATTAAAACGATTTAACGTTTAAAATTCACTATGGTCACATACACATCCATAAATATTGAGTATAAAACTTTTAATGTGGAAACCTTATTTATATTTTTAAAATACTTATAAAAACCATTTATGAATGAATTACACAGAACAATCAAGTTGACATGGTGCAGTTTTTAATGATTGATCCAAACGTATAAAGTTTTTTTTGTGCCTTGATAATTTCATGAATCACCTTCATACTTCATGTTGATGCTGTTACTATTTTTGGATACTCTATAGGTTGATGTCGATGTAACAGCATTACTGTGTCTATATACAGTACCAGCATGGTTGTAGTACATTATGATAAATAATTATTACCTACCACTATAACTAGTAAAACATTAATATCTACATCTAAGTTATACTTTATGTGTACCTTCTACAATTTTTTAAGATTGAATAACAGTATTGTCATCAATACAAAACATTTAATTACTTCAAGTATTGTCGGATATCAAACAAGACATAGCAAACGATACAACCCCGTTTGTGATTCAACCTAAACTGGTGCACAATGAAATATCACCTAGCGCACGATTATTGATACAGATTCTTCAAGTAATGAAGCCATTAAACAGGTGACAAAGATTGTCTTAAAATAGTAGAGTGACCTTGACCTGACCCTATAATCCTATAATTAAACAAGTAGTTATGGGTAGTTCTTGTGGCGCAGTGGTAACGCACTCTCCTTCACTCCGGTTTCCTCCCAAGTAAGACCCCACGCGCCCTTACAACATTGCCAGTAAAATCGATTAGTTTAAGTTTCAATAAATTGTATCAGAAAAGTTGTTAAATAAAGTTTATGTTGTAGTTGTTATGAGCGTTTATGAGCTTGTAAAGTTTGATCAAATTTCCTTATTCAAGTCAGTAGAGTGCTAACATGGATGGGCTAAATATAATGACGGTGACCTTGACTTTAGTACTGACTCTATAAAGCTGAAACTCACCGTTGCTGAGAAATAATGGTCCTTTATAAGTGTGTGATGCCTGATCAAAATATCTTAAAGGCAAGCTACGATTTCAAGGGATGCTTTGAAGAAAATTTTATAAAATTATGTTCTTGTGTTCATCGTACACCTCAATTTACTATCAAATCAAACATTTAATTCACAACGATCGCGCGGCCTTGGTTGCGTCATAGCAGATTTGCGTTATTACAAGCCGAACAGAATGATTTTTTTGTGTAAATTACAAATTCAACACAAAGTAAGACTAATGAAGTAATGAAACTTTAACCACAGCAATAAAAATTTAGCGCACAACATACACACCTGTGTATTTACCCAATACTCTGCAATACTTTTCAGTTCCGGATTTCCCGGAGTGCTATATTTAGACGGTTTGGCTGGGAGTATTCGCACTAATTTCTCCCAACCAAAATGTCCATATCAGAAGTGTTTTGATGCTTGAATGATACAGAACAGCCAGATGTTATTTTAACTTAAAATATCCCTTTGAATGAAGTCGCCAGAATTCTGACAATGTTTTCCTAAAATAAAAACTCGTAGAGGTTGAAGACCTTGACCTTGCAACCACGAAAAACTGAAGCTCTGCTGAGATAGTAAATCTTGTATACGAGTGTGAAGTTCGGGAGAAAGAATTAAAGCTGTGAAGCCGTTAGAGTGCTGACAATTATTTTCTCAAGAATAGTAACGGACGGTTACCTTAACCTAGACCCCGCTACCCCGAAACTCAAGGTCTGCCGCGAACATATGATCTTTAGTGTATGTGTGAACATAAAGAAATGTAGCCGCTAGTGCTGATACAATTGACGACAAGTACAATGTACGCACGGTAATTAACACCCCTACAATAATGACATGCCCTTCCTCCAGGGGTTATGATCACTACATCCTCGAGACTCAAGCGGTAACGAACATTACATCCTTGATATTCCAGCGGTAACGATCACTACATCCTCAATACTCCAGGGGCTACGATCACTACATCCTCGAGACTCCAGCGGTAACGATAATTACATCCTCGAGACTCCAGGGGCTACGATCACTACATCCTCGAGACTCAAGGGGTTATGATCACTAAATCCTCGATATTCCAGGGGTAACGATCACTACATCCTCGAGAATCCAGTGGTTACGAACACTGCATCCTCGAGACTCCAGGGGTAACGATCACTACATCCTCAATACTCCAGGGGCTACGATCACTACATCCTCGAGACTCAAGGGGTTATGATCACTACATCTCCGATATTCCAGGGGTAACGGTCACTACATCCTCCAGACTCAAGATAAAACGATCACTACATCCTCGAGACTCCAGCGGTAACGATCACTACATCCTCTAGATTCCAGTGGTAACGATCACTACATCCTCGAGACTCCGGGGATAACGATCACTTCATCATCGATACTCCTGGGGTAACGATCACTTCATCATCGAGATTCAAGGGGTAACGATCACTACATCCTCGATACTCCAGGGGTAACGATCACTACATCCTCGATACTCCAGGGGTAACGATCACTACATCCTCGATACTCCAGGGGTTACGATCACTACATCCTCGGTACTACAGGGGTTATGATCACTACATCCTCGGTACTACAGGGGTTACGATCACTACATCCTCGATACTCCAGGGGTAACGGTCACTACATCCTCGATACTCCAGGGGTAACGATCACTACATCCTCGATACTCCAGGGGTAACGATCACTACATCCTCGAGAATCCAGTGGTTACGAACACTGCATCCTCGAGACTCCAGGGGTAACGATCACTTTCGCTCTCAGCACCCCTACAATATGTGATGACAAAGGTGGGGATCAACATATATGGGAATGTAACATTAACACCGTCCCCACTTCTGGTGCATTATTATGAGGCAATTCCAATAAAATTATGCCATTGATGTGTGCACATTATTTTGATACCACACATATCATACTATTTCAGGAGAAACGTTTCTTTCATCTTGAAAAATGCAGCCAACATCCATATGAAAAGCCATTACTTTTGAGAAAAGTACTGTTTTAGACACTTCAATTTTCATACTTCCAAAACCAGTCGATTTTTCATACTTGTTTAAAAGTTGGCCACAGATATCTTTCGAAAGGAGGATTCTTGGAAAAAATGAAAGCCGGTAAATTTATCATTTTACATATTTGCTCAAAAAAACAAGAAACACTGTTTTTTTCATTTTCGTTAAATAATGACCGCTTAATAACCAAAAGTATGTAGGTCTTGCTATTTGACAAAGTGGTTGTTCATGTCAATTTGTATCAGTTTGGTTAACATTGCTGAACTTGACCTCTGTTCAAGGTCATACAAATGAAATTTGTTAAAATAAAGACATGTTTGTGCAAGTTTAACAATTCGAATATTCAGTTAGCAGCTTTATACAAATCTTATGAAGGTCAATAAAGTGACCTTATTAGAGAGATTATGTACAGTAATAGTGACGGATTTTGCCTTTGTCAGTTCCGATCCATAATTTGTGGTACTTTGAGAAGCTAATAAGAGATAGAACATTTGCAGTCTGCAGCACATTACATTGCGTTTTAGTATAGCAGAACTGCTCAAGTGATTGCTTGTTTGAACTGAGTTGCATGAACTGGGTTAGTTTGATGTTGATGCAGAACATGGCTCAAGAAATACAAAATGCACGCAACATGTGCATACATTCCAATGGTTCGCTTGCCCGCTGGACAGACACAGTAGTAATCTTTGACAGGGTCATTTTGATCATTTCTGTCAAACGCAATCCAAACATTGTATTTTGACTGTGATTTGTGCCTTGAATGGATTTGGCCTCGGAGAAGATTTTCATCATGCTGATAGACCCAAACTTCAAAAGTCTCCAGCAGGAATCAGATGCTCAGCAATATTTCTGGGTGCTACTTTCAACTGGTATGATCCGCAGGTTACTGTTTCTAAATATTCCACATCCAGTACTGGAAACTCTATTGAACAGGCATCAAGTTTCACCCAGTAGGTCTTGTTGCGCCTGGAACGGTCAGGTCCATCTGCAACCCTTGAGGCCAAGGTGTTGGGCAGAGCCAAACGGGATTGCATTCGCTCAACAAGGCGACGGTCCCTCAAGTCCCTCTCTGGCGTGGACACATTCAAGAAAGCAGTAGCTACTTTAACCAGTTCCTCTATGACACTAAGGAAGTAGTTTGAGCT